CTGCCACAGTATTGAAGGCAAAAGGTGGCCCAATGAAGTACTGATGGGGTGGTCATAATAATCTGGCCACTCGGTGTATATTCACTAGAGGCCTGGCACACAAAATTCATGTGCAGGTATGGTCCCTAGTCCTGGCCTGCAATCACGGCCATCTTCCCCAGCTGCCTACAGCCAGCCCTGCCCCGCCCCCCGCCACCACCCATCACAGGTTCCCCATTCTCCATCAGGTGATTGGAGCCTGATGGCCAGGGGGAGAGGGGCCAAGAGGTCAGCTGTTCTGCCTGCTCCCTGGCCCCGTCCCCTGCCACCACTCACCCCAGTTCCCCATTTGCCATTGGGCGATTGGAGCCTGCTGGCTAGGGAAAGGGACCGAGAGGTGGTCAGTGCGCCTCATAGTGACTGTTCCAGCGGTCATTCTGGGTCAAGTTGCCATTAGGGTCAAGTTGCATATTACCCTTTTGTTATATAGGATAGAGGCCCAGTGCATGTGTGGGGGCTGGCCGGCTTGCCCTGATGGGAGCCCCAGATCAGGGTGGGGGTCCCCACTGGGGGGTGGGACCAGCCGTGGTCATTCTCATCTCTGGTCCTTCTGGTTGTTCCGTCATTTCAGTCACTGGGCTTTTATTATATAGGGTATTTTCCTATAATAAAAGTTTAAAGACAAAAATTCTATATAACTAATCAATCTCTCTTTACTAGAAGGGTAGACTTCTATCTCTTTAGAAAATAAGAAAATAAAGATGATCATCACATACCTTTGTCCTGGGAATGTGAAAGATAACTATTTGGAAGTTTGAGACTTAGGGGGCAGGTCCCATTACTATACTAGTAACTTTCTTACATTTCTCTATATCGTGGGCTTTAAGAGGAGATTTGAAAGCAAAATGCATATTTTATTGGATTTATTGGGATGACATTAATAAAATTCTATAGGTTTTAGATAATTCTACAATACATCATTTGTATATTGTGTGTTCACCACCCACCCCATCAGTTCTTCCATCATCATTTATCCCCCCTTAACCCTCATCTACCTCACCTCATCCCCCTTTCCCTCTGGTAATCTTTACACTGTTGCCTGTGTCTACTTCTTCCTTTTTTTTTTTTTTTTTGTTTAATCCCTTCACTTTTTCAGCCAAGCTCCCCCGCAACCCTCTCCTCTCTGACAGCTGTCAGTCTGTTCTCTATATAAATTTGTTTCTATTTTGTTTACTAGAGGCTCGATGCACGAAATTCATTCAAGAGTAGGCCTTTTTCCCCCGGCCCGGCTTCCCTCACAGCCCTGGCTTCGCCTGGAAGGTCATCCGGTCTAATTAGCATATTATGCTTTCATTATTATAGATTTTGTTCATTAGATACCACAGATAAGTGAAATCATATGGTACTTCTCTTTCTCTGACTTATTTCACTTAGCATAATACTCTCCAGGTCCATCCATGCTCTCACACAGGGTAAGATTTCCTTTTTACCTCTGAGTAGTATTCCATTATGATAATGTACCACAGCTTTTTTGTCCACTCCTTTACTGATGGGCACTTGGCTGTTTCCAAATCTTGGCTGTTGTAAATAATACTGCAATGAACATCAGGGTGACTATATTCTTTTGAATTAGTGTTTCAGTTTTTTTGGATAAATTTCCAGAATTGG